AGGCACTGAGGGGCTAGATCCTCCAGTTTAGAGCAGCTACACAGTTCAGTGTTGCTTGCATCAAATGTGAGCCCTGCCAAAGGAATGGGAACCCCAAGAGGTTTATACAGGCACTATGGAGCAATTCATAAGGCAGCTCATGGGTAAGAACATACCTGTAAAATGGGGTTGCGTGTGCGTGTGCAGTAGATTCATACTGATAATGCTGTCTGGATTTGCAACTGTCTAGACAATGGGAAAATGAGCATCATGAAACTGGATAGTTTTGTGAGATGCCCAGCCAAATATCTGGGAAATATTTTTGTAATGGTTCTCCTCAGAGGGAGATAGGAGCCTGAGCCCTCCATTAGAGATGCAGCTCCCTCCATCCTGGTGAGGGACTGAGCCCACCAAGCCTTATCTGCCACGCTTTGCAGTCAGATGCTGTGTGCTGCTGTGGAGGAAAAGAAGCCCACAGCACAAACATGGCAAATGAGTTTTCCGGAGGCTGGAGCTGCTGCTTATCTGGCACGGAAAAGGAATTTCATGCTTAGAACTAGAGGCTGGGACTACATGAGCAGTGGTTTACCTCTGCAGACAAACAACTAGAGGCCAGTGTCTCCCCAGTCTGTTTTGCAGCCTACAGCAAAGACCAGATGATTTCTAGGCTGCAGGGTTTAGCTGCTGTTCTCTGTGGGGTAAAAGCTCATAAGAGGAGGCAAGACTCATTCTGAGCCTGTTGCCTGGAGCCCTGTCAGCACAAGGCTTAGAGATGCACAGGGATCTCACCCAGGACAAGAAGATGCAGCAACCAGGACTGTGGGCTTATGGCTGAGGCTGGGGAGAGCTTTGTTTCCATGGCATCTGCGAAAGTCCCTCCTCAGAGCTGCAAGGCCAAGTTCTATAATGGTGCTACTTGCTCCTTAACAACCCTACAAGCACTGGTTGGTGCCAGTGACCAGCTGCAAAGATCAAGTTGGGTCTAAATTCTAGTTTCAGTCCCCTAGAAGCTTTCTCTCTAGTCCTGCACTGCAGCAAACACAAGGTTCGTGGGATGATGACATCCAAGTACAAGAAGATTGAAAGGAGCAATACACAACTGATAAAAAAGAAACTCCAAATCACATGCTGTGTTAATGACTCAGGACAATACACCAGCACCTTCCCTTGTTTCTCTGAAAATCATCAAAAAAGGCAGGAAGACCAAACCTCATCTTTTTAGAGCAAAGATGTTATCTTCCCCAGAAGGAAAGAGATGCCAATTCATCTGAGGACAGCAGAGTGTAAGTAGCAGCTCAATGTTATTGATGATTGTCAGCCAGGGAACCTTTGGCTTGGTTTGGCTTGTGGGAAGCCTTCAGAAACTGCTCTAAGCAAAAGTTGCTACAACAACAAAAAGTCCCAGGAAAAGACGGGCCAGAGACTAGCCCTGTGTGCTCAGGATTTTAAACAGGAGGGTGATTTTACCTGGAGGCGAGTGCAAAAAAAGTCTGGAGAAACAAAAGCCTCTGTCAACCAGTTTTATGTCAGAGGAAGACAGTAATGAATACCCTTCAGGTACTATGGAGAGAATTTACCTACGTCAAAATGATGGCATCAGAAAGCTAATGTTTTTGTGCAGAAACCTCTGGTTTTGTTTGACTTTTTTGAGCTATTTCTTTGCTCCCATCTATTACAACACTGACTGGGTAATTCCCCCAGCCTCCAGTTTTTGTAGAACTAATCTTTTGAGTTTTGTGAAGTTGATCTTGGCTCATGGCACACACCCCACATCTGTTTTCCTAGGCCTTACAGTCTGACTCGGAATGATGGCATTTTAACTTCACCCCCCCCCCGTTACTGTCAAGTTTAAAAGCAAAACTAAACACTCCCACCACACCACGGAGTACCTGATGTCTGGAAAGGCACATGTCCCCTCACCTCCTGGTACTGAGCAGGGAAAGGTTGCTGTAAGAATGCTGACTGCTTATTTATTCTTTGAGATGATACAGTGTGAACTGACAGCAGAGGTTAAATACAATTATTCTGCATGAGCGACTTTTCAAAGCTCTCCTTTTGGTTCTTATCCAAGATCCTTTGGAAGCACATTGTTAAAGATAAGCATGCACACAGACCAGTGGGATGCGACATACTCAAACTGGTCATGTTGGTTTTGCTACCTTTTGAAATCATAGGCCTGAGAAGCTGCACAGCCCTGTTCTTGGGCAAATTGCAGCACATCCAGGAGAGTTTGACTTTAGACTATAGACCACTGCATGTCCCAAAGTGACCAGCAACTTGGCAGGATATGGTCAAGCAAGAGCATGTCTGTTGGGGAGGTAGTTAGAAAAGCTCTGCTGGACTTCTGCAGATTCGTGTCCTTCAGTTAAGTTTGCTAGATACTTCTGGGCTGGATTTGCTCTCTACCATTCTGCATCTGGTAAGACAGTTAATAAATACTTCTTTCGGCATCCTCTTTCCTGTGGTATTTTGCTCATTCTAATTCTGCTCCGAGGCAGAACTCAGAAATGCAGGAATGTGAAAGTCAGAGGGAAGGGTTTTGTCCCAGATGTGAAACACTAAATCTGGACTCCAGTACACATTTCTTTGGCTTTGGGAGTCAAAGCCCAAAGCCCAACAGAAAAGATGAAGGCCACACGTTAAAGGCAACTCCATGCCAGGGTAACCCCCTTTTCCCTGGCACTGCAGAGTTCTGGCCATCTCTGTTTGGTTAACCCAAGAGCAGGATGGCTGCAGAGCTGAAATGGTGACACACATTCAGAAAGAAAAAGCAGAAAAAAAGAGGAAGAGAAATGTTAAATGCTCCTGGTTGGTGATTAACCTGAAAAATGAACAATGAGGGAAATGGCTTTCACAGGGGCAAGCCACTCTGATTTGTAAAAAAGGTGAAGATTTTAATCTCTTACACAGAGTAAGCTCTCTGTTTGCAATTAGGAAACGTTAGCTCAGACTGGCATGGAGAGAGCTTCCTTGCCAATGTCCGAGTCTTGTTTTGTCTCTGATAATTCCACATTCTGCTTTTAAGAGACAGCTCATGTTTGATGTTAGTCAGTATTTAAGGCTAAATGCTGACCTGGCATATTCTGACCCTCTAAAAAAGGGGAAGGAGGGGGAGCAGGCTCTTCTTTCACTGGCAGGTTCATTGAAAATAATAATTCTTGAGTTTGGGCTACACACTTTAAGCCTTGTGGCTTTTGCCATCATACTTCACAGAGATGCACACAGAATATTACACGGGAAACAAAGTCAGAAAGCTGGATGAGGAGCAAGGGACCATCTTTCTTGCTCCTGTCCTGGCATTCCTCCTCTGGGCTGGCTCTGAGCTCTCCAGCCCATTGCAGGGTGTAATGGTGGGGTAAGAACTACTTAGTTCCTTATAGTTCCTCACTGTGTAAGAAATCCTGGGGTGAAAAGGAATCATTCCTTAGAGTTATTCATGCAAGAGGCTGTATCTAAACAAGGAAAACGATCAGGCACAGCAGCTGCATTTGGACATCTCCCTCTAGATCCATTCTTGGCTGAAGCAAGGAAGAATTTGGAAAGATGGCTATTGGACTGAAATTTGGATGCATTTTAACACAGCGTAACACATCAGCCTCCTTGGCAGTGAGCCCTCCTCACTTCACCTGGTGCAGAGTTCCTTCTGTGTCCCTGCAGCAGGTGGCCTTTAAAGTCAGAATTGCTCCAAGCCACGCTGCTACTTGTATAGACTGTTCTGCTCCATCTTACTCCTTCCCCTTGAATCTCTTCTATTCATTCTTTCTCCCTGCCCCCAAAATGAAGATCCTTGGGAAAGTGCATATTGGAACAACTATGAGGCTCCAAAGTTCCAGACTTTGGAAAAATCAGGTACAAAGCAAGAGCAACACATTTACTACAATTACCTTAGTGTAGCATTATACTAAATACCAAAAGCAAGAGAGTTGAACATTGCTTTTTTTAAACTACAGATGGGCTGCATTAACCACAAAGGAAACTCAAGAAGAGCTCAGGTCTGGAAGTAATAAAAACCATTTGCATAACATGCATGGTGCATTCAGTGCTAGCAGGAGGTGCTGGATGAGTCCAACAGTCTGGGAGCTTTTGTCAATGTGAGTTCAAACCCAGAAATCCTCTCCCAACAGTGGCCTGGAAGCACCTTCTCAGGGCAGAAGGTACCTCAGTCTCCTAAGCACAGGCACTGTTTCACCTTTCAGAGTCAACCTAGTTTTCAGCTGACCCCTGCAATGCATGACAACCATTTCTGAGATGCCAGAAGTAGATACACAGAGGAAATCCATACGATTCAAACAACTATGAACGGTTTTACCTCCTAAACCGGCTGGAATCAGGGCATATAAATGCCCTAAGTGATGCTAGCACAGAGCAACAGCACAGGCTGAAAGCTGTGTAACTGCAGTGACAGAAATATGCTGGTGTACGAAACCCAGTCCTGCTCTCTGCACTAGCATGGACATTGCCAGCACAGTTTCTCTCCAGCACTGCAGTGTATCCCTCATGCTTGCTGAGGTTGCAATAAGTCCCAACTACTCTCCTCAGTCAATTGCTGATGGCTGGAGTCAAGAGAACTGAAACAAAGCCATCCCACAAGTCACTCTCATTTATCTTCTGTCTCACCCCTTTATTTCTTCAGAGGATGACATGACACTACGGTAACAGATAGGAGCATCCAAAGCCACGTCCCCACACCCTGCTGCCACGTGTAACATCAGGGCACAAATCTCCTTTAACATAAGTAATGAAGGTCTGTACTTTTTGGAGCAAGGGGGATGTGGCCGAGATTCTTCCCTTGCTGACACACCACGGTGCTAAGCTGCTGCGGCAGGCACCAGAAGCAACAAATGTAAAGTCAAAGGCATTATAATCTAAGAAAAGGCTGAAGAAACCCAAACCGAGATGTCATAATAACATAAGCCCGAATTCATTACCCTTGTAACCAAAAAGAAACTACCGATATGCCAGTTTCCATCCATAAATAGCTACAGTTGAGGGTCTCAGTTTATAAAACTTGAATGACTTACCGTATGTTGCACTGAATGGTTTTGGTCGGAAGTCCACAAAGGATCAGTTAGACAGCAATTTCTCCTGTTGAGACAAAAACCAAGAGGTAAAAACTGCCTTGCCAAACTCAGAAGATAAGCACAAAGGCGCATTGTTTAAAATCACAGGGGAGCAGAGTGTGCTGGAACACATAAGGAACAAAGCAAATACAGACTCTTGGGGTGTTTAGACTACAGCGTGTCTGCCTTTTTCCAAGTTGGGTTGAATGAAAAAGCAGTTTACAGAGAGTTCAGGATTCCTGCAGACATGCCAGAGCCTCAGCTGCACAGTGAGCTGTTTAACCTGGGAAAGCCAGCTCAATTACAGGTAAAGGGTCCAGGTGTTTACAAGGCAATGAAGACCCATAGCTTGAACACTGAAGTAGCAAGGAGTTGGGGCTCACAACAGCTAGCCCTTGATAGCGTTTGCCCCCATCTCATGTGCTGATACCCAAGCCTCTTGGCAGATGGATCCACACTGCCTTTATCTGGGATAGCTGTAGCCCTGAAGACATGATGTGGAAGGGCATGGTCAGCAGGAGACATTCCAGGTTTTCCCTGGCCTTTTTTTCTCTGCCAAGGATTTGCTTAGCTCCTGTGCCCTCAGCGCCTCATTTACCACCAGAAATAGGTCTAATATTGAGGTTTTAAACTCATAATTCCCTGGACTAGAACTGATAGGTGGAGCTGTGCAAGGGGCATGGAGAAACAGTTGGGACACTACAGATTGTCCACACTGGTTGCCAAGTAGCTTAATCCTGTTGCCCTTAATGGGAGAGGCGATTGTCTTTTAAGGACTCCAAAGCAGGTCCTATTTGGAGAAGGGGTGGACATGAAGGTGGAAAAATGGACTCTGGCACAAGCTTTCTCACTGGCCCTCAGGAAAAAGCCAAAGTTCTCCTTTCCCCAAAAGACCCCAGCAGTTTGATTTCATTTTAGTTTGGCTGTTGCAGACCTCCAGCCCACAGCCCCATGTACCCTCCACACCGAGTTGTGAAAAGCACACAAGTGCTATCCACTTAGTACATACACAGTAACACACAGCCCTCAGCCTGCAGGGGAATTACCATTGTGGGTTACCAGCTGAGACAAATTCATTTCCTCACATTTTATATGCAAGAGTGGAAAATGCTGCTTAAAAACCACATGAACCAAAAAACAGCAAACAGCAGGGCCTGAAGCAGTGGTGCTCCAAATTGCTGAGTAGCTCTGAGCATGGCCATCATCACTGCAGAGAAGTATACTAGACTTCAATGCCCCACTGCTCCTTCAGGATCCAGAGCATCTTCCAGGCCCTTTATCACCTCTAAAATCAGCATCCCTAATTTCACAGTGAGGCTGTGGTAGGTCCCTACCAGTGATTGCTGCCTACTGTAGTGGTATCTGAGACTCAAATACCTTCTGCCTTCACTTCTCTTCCCATTTACCTTCACACATTTCAGGTTCTCTGGGGCACGGCTTATCTTTTACCTTCTGGAGCTGGAGACAGCATTCTGACACTTACACCATGGGTGCCAACATCAGCCAGCAGAGCTATCGGAGGAGACTTTCCCTTGCAGTAGTTACTCCCACTTTATCCCAGCAATAGATCATTCTCTGGGGCATACCCTCAGGGTATTTGTCAAGCTTGTTAAAACAAACAGGAGGAAGCTCCTTGAGGCAGGTCCCCCACTTCCCACCTCTGCCTTACCAGCTCCTGAAGGTCCCAACCCGCTGGCTAAAAGGCAGGAGGGAAGCAAACAGCATTCGCTTTGTGCAACATAGAGGGCTGAGGAACTTTGGGAGACAAACTATTCAAAGTAAAAAGCGGTGCAAAAACAGATTGGGAAACTACTGTGTCGTGACTATTAATGAAGCGATAGAAAGTATCAGTCACTCCCCAGCCTCTGAAGCTTGCTTCGAGAGAAGAATTAGGAGAGTTTATGTTCCAAGTACCAGGAAACCACAGGGCCCTGGTGCCTAGTTCTCAAAAGAACACTGAATCACAAGGAGGAAAGCAGAGTGCTGCAGGGAGCCAAAGGCAGAGTTTAAAAATAGCAGCTTTCAGTTTTGTTTCTTTTTTCTTCTTAAGTGCCTGGATATAGGATCATGTCAGAGGGTGGATAAAGAGAGCAGACCAGCCCCTGTGGAGAGAGAAGCCTTCCTGAATGCAGTACTTCTGGTCAGGAGGGGGTATGGGCTGTTCATTTTGAACTCCAGCCCACCCCAAAGGAACCAGTCTCTCCTGATCCTGTTGTCCCCCCCAGCCCAAGAGAAGGGCACTGTGAGAGTGGGAACTGGGCAGCTTAACTAAGCCCATCTGAAGCCAGCAGAGATGAGTAAATCCAAGGCCTGAATGTGTGATCTAGGCTGAGCCATCCCCTTCTGGGCACATGCAGGGCCAATTTCCCATAGCATTAAGGACACTTTTGAACTGCTGTGGAAGGAATGAGATTTCCTGACATGTTTGTGCTAATGCTCTGGGTCTGTGTGCAGGAAGAAGTCATGTCTGGATGCTATACCCTGGCAAACGTGCTAAACCAAGAGAAAAGATGCCCGAGTTCTGGTGCTGCTCAAACTTCTCAACCCCTCAGACTCTGCACCACTTGACCACCAGGGCAGACTCACAGCACCTACCAAAGCAACAAAGTGTAGAAGTTGGATATTGGTACCGTAGACAAAGGAGGCAGAGAACTGTCTGCTGAAATGGACAGTAAAGCTTTAGGTCATGCAGTGGACTATCAGCAATAGCTTCAAGTCAGAAATGGACAGGGTCTGCAGAAAGAAAGGAAATCTGCTCATCCAAATAGATCAAGAGCCAGATTTATCTTTAGGTAGCTGATCTTGGAAGGCAAAGCTTGCTCATCGAAGAGAGGCATGATGCCCCTTTGTTTGTGGAATGAGAAGAAAAGCACAGCTGATGCTTTGGATAAGGCTGTCTGTCTCTGGCTCCCTAGGGAAGTCTCATGTGCGTTCTGACTCATTGCACAGAGGATGCTCTTAAATCTAGAGAATAACCCACGTAATAAGGACAGCAAGTTCAAGGAGCCACATAAAAAACCTTTTCCCAATTAGCAAGCAGACACACAAACCCTTTTTCCCAGCCAGCTCAGGGGCAAAACAGTCAAGTTTTTCAGTGTAAGCTATGATTCAGTTGGAGGGCAGGGGAAGAGAAATACTGGCTCTGTCACTGGGTTAATAGTAGTACACAAATCACTTAAACTGCTACCAACACATTGTCAGATTGACTTGTTGCAAGTTCAGTTTCTCCTGTCACTGGCAAGGGCTTCTGGACTGTGGTGCAGAGAATGACCAGCTAGCACACAAGTCACACAGCATTCACAACACTTCAAATACAGTTTAAAAGCTAAAACCTAGTACTGATGACGATACTGACCAAGTCTTAAAGGACCATTTTAAGGTTAAAATATGCAGGCAAAAAAAAAAAAAAAAAAATCTCAAAGATCTGGAATCTGAAGTATTTCCTTGCAAAGAAGTTTCCTCTGGAATGTCATCTGTTCCTGCTGTTATTTGAGATAGGTAGCTGACACAACCAACTCCAGTGACCTGTGTGGCACAGAGCTTTTTGTTCCTGTGGCTCATAAAATGGCCTAGGAACCCAGTAGTGCCACAGGCCAGTGTAACTGCCTTGTCATTGCACAGACTGTTAGGCAGCAAACTTCAAAGAAGCTGCTTGCGTGGAGTTAAAGAGCCCCACATGTCTAGGGATACTCTGAGACCCAAAGTAACTTGCTCTTGCTGCCCTTCAGAAAGGCCAAGCCACAATGTACTAGAAGCACATCTCATGGTGCAGCGTCCTGCCCTCCAATTAGGTCTGAAAGCTTTCATTATGTGAGAAAGTCTTTAAAGCACAACCTCAGCTCCAGTTCATCCAGTACTTCCCTCTCTCCTCTTTAGCCTTGCAGGTACAAAAAACTCAGCCCAGCTGGCCTGGGATTTTCCCTTTTCCAGCTTTCCGTGGGGATCACCATGAGTGCAGACAAAAGCAGTGTACAAATGCCTTATAGCGGAACCCTCGTGGTAGAAGAGCTCTCACCAAATTGCCACTCAAGGGACTTGTAGTTTCTGCCCCTATAAGAGACATGAGCTGGTTGGAACATGGTACAAAACTGGCATCCTGGTATAGGGAGGCAATTCAGAACAGGAGCAGGACTTTACATGATGCTCCCCTCTCTTAAATGTAGACATAGCAACAGATTAGAACAAGTAATTTTTCCTCTGAAAAGAATATATACCAGGCAGCATTAAAGAAAAGCCAGGACCAAGGTGAATTAACCTGACCAACTACAGTAAAGTTCCTATGAAGTACAGGCAACACAAAGCAGCACATTTTCTCTCTTGTGGCTGGAAAGACAAATTTGCAATCAAGCTTCTTTGGGAGGGCTCAAAGCAATGTGCTGCTGCATGTTCAGCTAAAACTGCATCCTCCTAGCACAGATCCCAAGGCTTTCTTGTACTCTTTAGCCCTCAGTTGTGAAGTAATAGCAAATACACACACTCAAGCCTGGGGAACTCCGTTTTTCAGCTGGAAGACTTCAAAAGGTTTCACAAAGGCCAAATGAAAAGGCATTTGGATGTTCTCTAGACAAAACCTTGTTGTTTCCATTCTGCAGGAAGTGCTGATGCTTTGAAGACAACCAACCAACCACACTCACTGAGAAACGGCACAAGCCATCTCTGAGTTTGCCTCTGCCAACGCTTTGACCTTGCCACAGCAACCAGCCAGAACTTGCTGGAAAGCTCTTGATACTTGGGAAAATAGTGGCACCATTCTATCGTCCCTCTTCCAAAGCAATACACAAACATATTGTATTTCTGGAACAATTCTGGCACCGGTTTCATTTTGGGGCTACAAATGCAGACAGAGTGGAGAAGGGTACATGAGAAGAGTAGGGGAAAGCTGGCAGTAATGAGGGATGCTATTTTTTCCAGAGTCCAATGTAGCTGCTACAAGGAACAAGCCATGCACGAAGAGCACTGCATCATGCTCACACTTCCAGTGCATGCCCTGGATTGAAATTCAAATGGATTTTAGTGCCCCTTAGTGCTGGCTGCAGGGCAGATTTTCTTCTATTTGTAGAGAACAGCAGTTCTCTCACCTTCTGAGAGAATGATGTTATTAAGATACCTTGCAATACAGCAGCAGGAAACAGAGTCTCCGGCACAATTAAAAACATAACAATTTTCAAGGAACTATTTCACTTTATGGAAAGGATATGGCTGTGAACATTCATCTTGTTATGACGTTGCTATTCTCTGTGTATCAGAATCAAGGGCTAGTCTGAAGTAGCCTTATGCATTCTGATCAGGGATAATCCATGAACAATCCTACGGAACCTATAGATTTCTCTAGGAGTTAGGGTTTGATCATAAAGAACCTTACCTAGGACATTTAATCACAACTTAGTCCCAGGATAATCAGTGACAAAATCCTTTTTGCAGTAGGCCCAGTGGTTTGGATCACATAATGCCGGCAGACACTTGACCCGGCTGTCTTGCCAGCTCCCAGGTTCATGCTTTCCTTCTTTGCTCATCAGATATTTGAAGCAACATCATCTCATTCCTCTTCTGTTTCCAAGACAAAAATCCCCTTGAGAAACCTTCTCTGTTCTTTTCCCACTTACACTTCCAGCTGGTTTTTGCCTTTGCATAACTAGTTCTGTGCCAATCCAGGTCAACTCTGAAAATAACTTCCTGGCATTTTTAATAGCATTTCATGGTGATTTTAGATGGAATTGTGAACCTTTCCAATAAAATGCTTGTGACTGGCCAGGGAGATCATACAAAATCATCCTTCTTCTAGCCCTGGATTGGATGAGAAGCTCAAACATGAATTTGCCAGGTGACCCAAACTGTGTTTTCCACATATACATGAACTCGGATTCGCTCCCTGCTAACAGCAACTCACTAGCTGTAAAACTGGCTATAAAACTCCATCATTGGGTTCTTTGTGAGCCAGATCTCCAAAATCTTATATAAAATGACTGCCTATTGCCCAGACCTACAGAACAAGATAAAACTACTCCAAGGACCTCACTTCATTATCACTTCACTGAATAGGCTGGGTCAACATTAAGGCCCCAGTGTCAGGTCTTCCAAGGCAGACCCTGTCCTCAGGAGTTTAAGATCTAAACCAGACAAAGCAGAAGACAGTCCTAAGCTGCCTTTTCTTATGCTGGAATATTTTAGATGAATAAAGCTACAGGTTTTGGCAGGCAGTAGCCAGCTCCTAACAATTTGCTTTGTATCCAGACTGCTTAGGAGATACCAGGGTGAATTCATCCCATTGATTTTTGTTTGGGAAGAATCCCAAGTCTCCAACTGATCTCCATTTTTTGATTGCACATTGTAACTCTGCCAGACAAACACCCATCCAAACCAACAGCACCACCTCTATCAGATCCTTTGGGAGTTTCCATTAATGTCAGTGGAGTTCAGGCACCTTCTGTCCTTGTTTCTCCTCCAGGAGCACATGGCCACCATAAGCCAAATGAGCAACAACACTTTACAACACACTCAGGAGCAAGCCTGAGCTACCACAGTTATGACTTGACATCAGCACAGTCCACACCTGTGTTCCTAACACAGTCTGGAGCCCTGTGAGCCTCCCTTGGGAGGCCAAACCAGCTGCTTGTGTCTAATCTCTGCCTCAGTTTTAGTGGAGAATTTCCTCTCTGCCCTTCAAGTGGAACATTTTAAGCAAAGGTATTGCAGCCTGATGACTGAGGAGGCAAGTTAAGGTCTGCAGTAGCTGCAAATAATGCTCCCTTACATTAAATATTAAGCTCAGGGTAGTAAGCCAGACAATCGCATACTGAATTAATAATGTTATTTATTCCATTTAGTGGAGCATGGAGAACACTTAATCATTGAAGCGTTTGAGATCAGAGCTAGCATCAACAGCTCAGCTCTAAGAGTGTTTTATGGAAAACAGAGGTGGACTGAGTAGTTGGAAGTGAAGAGAGTGTGAATGTGTGAAATATAGCAGATTTGGTGATAATAAAGTTAAATGGCCTCGATTGTTCTTTGGATACTAATGCTCCAGCAGCATTTTGTCTTAAGAAAGCATAATAAGCAAGTCTCCAAAGATAACCTTGGATTGGAGCTTGTGTAGGATCTTGAGGCACTTCTTTTCCTTTTCTAAAAGGTTTATTATTTAGGAAAAAAAGGATCTGTTCAACTAAAACAAGAAAAATGTCACGAGGAATTCTGAAGCTCTCTATTCCTTCAAAATTTAAATAAGTAATAAAAAGATGTGAAGATTAAAAAAATATGCTGATACAAGTGTCTGAAATCAGTTTGGTTTTTTAGAGTGGTCAACCCTTTTTCCATGCTCAACACTGAAAATTAAAGGAATACTTGCAGTCAGTTTCAGCAGTAGGAACTCTACCTTTTGAAGCACAGGGGTTAAAATATTGAAGAGCTACAATAGGACACCCAAGGTATCTCCCCAGTCATTACTCTTTCACTTTTCTACTTCCTAATTTTGGCCTCTCTGACCTCCATCTTTTATAGCCATATGAAGAAACGGCCTCCCAGGCTACATGCAAGAAGCAGCATTTTCCCCATCACTCAGCAGGAACACCCTATCAACTACTTAACACACATTTCTCAACCCTAATCACCTCCAGTTGCTGTGGGTTCCAACATTTGGTCTGCTGGAGAAAGAAATAACCCATCTGCCACTTCCTGCAACTCCGATTTCCATGCCTTTCATGGAACAATTTCACTGACTTCACAGGAGCTTGTTTGGATTTACACTTGTGTAAAAATGAGGCAAGAAAACCCGAGTCTTGGTGTGGAATAACAAGTTCATAAATGTGTTCTGTATCTCCAAGCATCTCCCCATCTCCAAAGGTGAACAGCTGTTGCTATAAATCAGACAGTCTGAACCAGCCATTAGAACTTCATCCAGATGATCCGTTCAAAACATACAAAGGCAACGGTTTGGATATAAAAATCTACCCTCATGTCCTCAGGGACACCTTCTGTTGGAGAAAAACCTCATAATTCAAAGCTAAAATTAGCTCACTTTAGTGCTTTTTCAGGAGAGTCATGATACTCAAGAGTAACATCGCCTTGTAAAGGCCTGTTAGATGACTTAAGGGATCCTAAACATCTGGCAGTTTGGTACACACTGCATTGGAGACATCTAGTGTCTTTTTCAACTTCTCTGTGGGTGTAACTCTTCACTATTAGCTACAATGGCTGTATCTGGTTCAGTTCCCACCAACCATTCTCTCTATTTGAGTAGGAAACACTTGCTAAAGCATGGAAACAGCTGGCAGAGTTGGCTGTAGCTTGTATTAACAAAACACGCTCTTGTTTCTGACCACAGACTGGCCTTTAAGTTCCGACTGTGACTGCCAAAGGCTCTTCTTAGACTTTTGGATGAGACCACATCACCCAAGATGTACAAGTTGGCTGTGTTAAGGATTGGTTCTTGTAGTATAAGGCTTGCTGTCAGGAGGGATAAAGCTTTGTGTAAGTAGAGGGGAACAGGATGAGCAGCCCCACTTTATTAGCTGGGAAATTGAAACAAGAAGATTAAGTTATTGGCCTCTGGCCATTTCCCAGTGAGAGAGAGACACACATATATTCCTTTCTGAGGGAAAGGCTCTAATTAAAGCAGGCTAATATGCAAGCCTTATTTACACACCACTCACCAGCAGAGTAAGTCCAACCAGGCAAGGCTGTTGGACTGAATCTTGTGCTGTTGAGGACTGTAACCTGTGCTCCAGGGTCACTTTAGCACCCAGGTTCCCTTGGACACTAGGAAGCCTACATCATCTCCTGCTCATTAATACCTCCCAGCTCATTGAGTACATAACACGTCTTCTCCTCTCAAACATACCAAGAGCATAAAACGCAGCTTAAAGGGGCAGGATGGTCGGTTAGCCCTGCACTGACCGCTGAATAATCAATCACCTATTCTGAAAGTGTCAGTTTCCTCCACCTTCATCAGTGTTACTGCTTGATACCTCAAGTCCTGAAGGGGGAGGCCAAGTAATGTATCGCTGCTATGTTAGGCTGTCATTTGTCTTACTGAGGGCAATGGAGAGTTAGACATAACATGAACATGGAAAAACCAGTGAAATACAGACAGAGCTCTACCTTGAGCCTCCAGACAGTCATACAGAGTAACAGGCTCAGCTCCTTTCACTCAACTCCTTATGCTCTTTTGAGACCATGAAAAGAAACTTTATGATATGCTGGAAGGGATGAAGTATTAACTATCAAAAACTAGACTGAAGTAACCAAGAGCCTGGATTATTTTCTCTTTGATGTATGCTTATGTAAATTCAAATACATATTTTTAAATGCAACCTTTCTTCAATTCTAGCAGAGCTTATTAAATCTATTTGAGTGAGACAAGCTAGGCTCCATGTAACGCCAGGAACTCCCCTGACAGTTTGCCTTCCTATTTAACATGATACTCTGTGATTACACATACCAGAGCCTTTCATTCAAGCATTTTCATTTACAAATACTCTTTACATTTTTTAACGCCCCTGTGGACAGGCATCAAGAGTCCACTTTGTTCAAGAGTAATCAATTGAAGCAGGGTGAGGCAGTCTGATTTGCTCCAGATCACGCACTGAAATACTAGCGGAGTTTGGAAAACTCCTTCCTTGTCCCTCCTCGGTAGTCACTCAGAAACACAACTTCCATTAACAGCAGATACATTCTCTTAATGCTGGGCCAAATGCTCACAGAAGAGAGCAAACTCAGTAGCAAGTAGGCCATAGGAAGCAAAGAGAGATTAACCTCCCCAAACCCAGCCACAATGGGGACACCCATCACTCTTCCCTTGCCGAGTTCACTTACCAAGCAGCAAAGTGCTCTCCGTGGTGCAAATCTGTCAGACATTTCTTGCACATCTCTTCCCAGAGCCAAATATCTTCTAGGGGACAAAAAGTACTGTTAAATGGCATCAAGTCAGTCTTGTTTTCTCAGACATTATACGGCACACTGCACACTTCCATACAATCCTGACTCCTCCAGAAGGAAAGGCAGCCTATTGCTCAGGCTGATCCTTTCTTTTTTAGATTGTTAGGTCCATTATTTCTGGAGTTTTTAATGCTATTTAAGAGCATTATTTACCCCTCTCACAGTCCCAGAGATAAGGTCTAATTAAGTCCAGTCTCTAGGGCTGGTGGAGCTGAAAGGAGACCAGTCTGATTAGTACCAAGAAGCACAGGTTTCATGGGGACTCTTACCTGAGGCAGCCACAAGGTACAAAACCCTCTTCTGCTGAGCCTCCAAATAGTCTCTATCACTCTCTAAACACTCAGAAGTACTTCAGCTATTAAATGTAGGCCTTAAAAGCAATACCTAAGATACTCACCTTCAAATCCAAACAGCACATAGCCAAGTACCTTCCACACAGGAACCCAGCTCCCAGTGACACCTCTGCTTCACACCTGCAGAACATGAGCTCTCAGGGTGGAGCACAGCTGCCTCTATCAGGCAGGTAGATGTTTTCTTTGCTGGGGGGCTGCCAGGAGCTTCAGGTGGCACAGATTTAAATGATGGGCAAGCCAAAAGTTCTTCAAGCACAAACTAGAGACATCATTACATGTCCAAACCAAGTTGTATCTTCATTTCTTCTTTGTAAATTGAGTGTAATTATACACATGAGGAAGCTCTTGCTCTTCCTGACTATGGAGAGCACCTACAGCTTTGCACTAGAATTACCCATAAGAGACTGTTGAAGAAGCCTCTCTAGAGAGGTCTAATTTAGATAAATGAGGCCCAGCTGTGCTAGTTTAGGGCCACAGAGCAATAACAGCTCACAGGCATTGATGAAAACACCCCACCTACCTTGTCTTTGATTGGGTTTTGTAGTGAGACAGTGACCTGGCTGCAGAAAAGAAAGAAGGTAAAACCCAAGGTGCAAGTTGCATCTGTAGGAAGTGATCCAGACTGAGAGCTGGGGGATAAACAGCCCTGGGGATGGCTTGGAGTGAACCTTGCACCAGGATTTATGTTTTCAGGCCTGTTCTTCACAATGTTTTAGTGGGATAAACCGAAACCTGCCATCCCTCCATGTAAATAAAGGGATTTGTCATAAAGCGAACAGATCCCGCTTTTAAGTAGTTTCCAAGAATATGAAGTGACAATGAGGTGCCTAAGAAAATAACTTTCCACTGCCTGGGAAAACCCACTCCTAAGATGCTAACTTCACAGCTGGGATCAATACAGGCTTTGAAAGAAAACAGGGGCCTGAAAGACTCTGTGTATGGTCTGAACAAAGAGAACAAAGACAACAAATAAAACTGAGGTAGTTTTTAAAGGTCTGTGTCTTACCTTCAATTATCAGCTTAAAGAGTAACTGCTGGAATGGTTATAGCCACCCAATTGCTCTGCAGGAATCTCATACACACTTGGCAAACATAGGGAGCCCTAAAGGGATGCTTGTAATCTTTTGCCCACTCAAGGGATCATCCTTGCAGGTCGGGTCCGTCATGCGTTCCCACAAACTCTTCAGGTGCCATTCTTTGGCTGCTCCTTCACTCAAAAGGTGATTTGGGCTTTTTTTGTGGCCAAAATGGCCTCATAGAGAATTTTTACAGTTGTATTATGCCTGAAAGGTTGGAGCAGAGAAATGTGAACCAGCGGCCTCCAAAACCCTGGGGCTTCACAGCAAATTTATACTGAGGCAGGGTTTGCTGCAAGGTTTGAACCCCCAGCCATTTTGGACATGCAGCTTTCTCCTAACGTTTCCTCCATCCTTTCCCTTGGGCTTGTGAGAACAAAGCAGCTCATGTTTGACAATTGCTCCTTGCAGATTCATTAGGTGTGATGGTGGAGTCCAGTGATGGAAACAATTCACCCAATGGGTCAGTCCCACTTTTCTGCAGAGCGCCCAGCCTGCAGGCTTTCTCTATGACTGACTATGATGACAGTTGGGCAGAAAATGTGGCTGATTTTAAGGGCTATGTTCCCACAGACCCAAAGTTATGATCAACAGAGAAGCAGCAAGGTCAGTTCATGAAGAAATCACTGACCGCTCTTACCCTCTTGTGTCACTCCACTGACTCCAGGGCAACTGCAACAGCACTGAAGGAAGACTCGTCCATCTAGGGGAAAACAAGGCTTCCTTCAAATCCTCTTTTATTTACTCCAGTCAGCTGTGTTGAGTGTATCGATTCCATCAGCTATTTCCTTAACCATAAAACCAGATGTGCACCGTCACGGCCCATCTACAGGGACTGAATCCATGCCATTGCAAAAATGTAGAATGAAAATAAAATATCCCAAGAAAGCTGAGATAAGCTGATGTTTGGAGCTCTCAGAGTTTCCTGGGTAAATTGCTTTTCTTTTGAGTCCCATTTATTTATGTTACCTCCAAAGAAATGCTGGTTTAGCCACATTTCTTGGAAACAGCGTTGAAATCTAATGGGTTGTTACTGATGTGAATTCTCAGGGGAGAAGCTGGAGTGTAGCGGGAATGTGGTATTATCTTTGCTTCTGGGCATCAGCAACTTCTGCAAGCAATGTGGTGCAGTACATGTCATTCTTCACTGAGGCAATTAATTACCTTGGTCTCTAATGAGAAGAACTATTCAGTTTAAATAAACCACTGCAGGCCTTTGGACTTAAGTTAGCTTCTGGGCATCTGGGCAGATGTGTGAATTAGGAAGGGTGCATTGCTCCGTTTTCCTCTGTTTCTTCTCAGACATTGTTCAGTTTGTTTCCACTGTACTTCTTTGGGACACTGCCAACTGAGGCAGGTCAGTGCACCACGTCCTCCTTGCAAACAGTCACCTAGGAAACGTGGTCTGGCTTCATCTCAGCTTTGAGTACCAGCTACCAGCTCTCCTGTTTCCCAAGAGAGCCTAAGGAGCAGAGGAAAAGAAGGATTCCCAGGGAGGGTTGAGGTAAGCTCTTCATCTGCTGGGTCTTTCCTCCATCACAGAGGATGCTGGAGGTGATGCAGGTGGGGTCCAAACACCCACAGTCTAACAACCTGCAGAGCCTGCCCAATGCCACTCTTGCTGGGATGAAGACACAGGGTGAGCAAACATCTGCACTGCAGGACACTATGCCCCAACTGAGCCTGCAGCTACAGAGAGGAGTCTTTGTACAGGAATGGGGTGGGATTTGCTGGCTGAAGAGCACTTCAGCAATGCGGCTGCAATATGCTACATGCCAGACTGTAGACATTCCTGGGGCAGCTTTCCAGGATGTGAATAAACTTGGGATGTATGTATAAAATGCCATACAATGTGAACCCTGAGAGGCCTGGCAATTGCATGGCATTGCCTTTGTATACATATAGCCTGAAGGGATTTCTCCAAGCTCAGGTGTCTGCTTCAATTCCAGTATCCACATGTGCTGATCAATTCTTGCTCTATATTGGAGAAACTATCTCATAATGTCACACCTCTCCAATGCACAAAGACTCATTTTCGATAGCATTGTCCCTTGATTGCCACCACAACATAAAAGAGCTGTGAAATACCACAAATGTGAATAGGGAGGCAATGGGAATGTGACTAGCCTGGGTTACTTAGGAAGGTCTGAGTAGGCTGTAGCATCTCTGAGTCGGTCCATCCTGAGGTCCCAGTTGCAAGGGTAGACTCACAAATGATTCACTTCATAGGGAAGTGTTATGAATGATTTAAATTCAGGAATTACTGCATAGCATGCGGGGCATATCCTAATGCTTACCTGAACACTATCTATCCAATGTATATACCAGCTCCATATCCAGCCCTGTGCCATTCTAACATTGCCTGGGGAAAAAAAAAAACAAAACAGAGGAGAAATAAGGCATCACAGGTAACAAATACACAAGAGAGACAAAGTGTAAATCTCTAACAGCCAAGTGCTCTTAGTCTCTTGGGAAAGATTGCTGCCACATAGATGTGGTTTCCTCTGGCACAAGGTGATACTCCAGGCCTCAAAAGAGTCAGAAGGGGTCTTTCTGCTGATACAATGAAAATGCCCTTGTGTGGTTGAGCACCACTAATTAAAACCAAAAGAGAATATTTTCCAATGACAACTTGCTATTTTTCCTCCCTTAAGAGAGTTGTCTGACATCTAAAGTGCAGAGCTCTACACAGGCACACACATAGTCCAGAGGTACTTGTGCCCCTGTTGTAGCTGTTATAATTGCAGAGAAAAATAAGGCAACAGGAACAAACAGCTCTGGAAACACACGTAGCCAAATGCTGGGTTTAAAAGCAGGAAACTCTCACCTGGATTGTTCTGCTCCTGACCTGTACTTTACACTGCACTATTTCATGTGTTGTTCTTTCTCTTCCCCAGAGCAAACAGAAACCAGATCTTAAAACATTCACAATGAATTTTCAAATGAATAACATGTGAGGCTTTGTCTAAAAGGTGAAGTTGTTGTAAAAATCAATGTCAAAGGGAACGCTTTGCCAATTCAATTATACTTGTTCCTCTCAAAGTGAAAAAAATAAAGAGAAAAGAGAGAAAAAAAGATGTGGGCTTATTTCAAGCCCAATAAATGTTCCTCAGACTAAGATCCCAATTGTGTAAATGTTCTCATGGCTTCTTAGGCCAGCTCCCCTCAAGGGGTCATAATTAACACTAAATAGGGTTACCCTGTTTCAGAATCACTCTAATGTCAAGCAGTGTTTCTGCCTAGGTCCACAGAAAATAATGTTGTGTCCATCAGATGGCATGAAGTTGTCCCAAAAATGGGAACCATACGTCAAAATTTAAACCCAATTAAGTGTGATTGGACATGGCAGCTGTCTAGAAAATGGTCAGTTTTACTGAGTTTTGGGCAACTTTCATTTTAGGATTGACCCAAAAGAAAAAGAAATGAGCAACATGAAAGTATAAATGGCTGAATCCAGGCCATGGTGGGAAGGGATGAAGGGCACAGCAAATCCTTGTACAGATGTGGCAGCATGAAGGTTCGTGGGCCTTAAGATTTCCTCACTGGGCATGATCCAGCTCTCCTCCATACTACCTGGTATGCACCAGCCTCTTTCAAGCTGCACATGGAGTGAATTTTTGGAGGGGGCGATAATAACCTTTCTGATTTGCGTTTGTAAAGGATAGTTCTGAACTGTGATTCACATTGCTGGAAGGTGCTTAAGTGCAATAATACAGAGACAGATCATAAGAGTTCCAGTCTCTGATCTGGACTTGCATTTCTGGCTTTGGCATGGACATGTCACCCATGTGCTTTGTGGACAGGAAACACATGCCTGCCTGGCAAGGCTGATGTGAGAGTCGTTCCATGGTGCTGAGCCTGGAAATCCTTTGACTGCAAAGGGGCAAGAGCCCCAGGCATAGCAGTAGGGAATACTGTTATACACTAATGCACACCCTAATGTACACTACATGTAGTTTAATTCCATACAGAACCAAGACATGGGAATGTCCTTGTTTCCACGTATGATGCTTGTCCAAGTGCTTGTACTAGACTGTTAATGAATCTTCCCATAACTGGAAGAAAATGACTAGGAAGTAAATAGCAGCACCAGTAACTCAGGTGCAAAGGCAAACTCTGAATGACCCTATCTTCTCTCATATGACAGAAATCTTTTATAAACACACACCCAATACGACATCAGTTACAGAAACACCCTGGAAATCTGTACTTGGTTATCTTGAAACTAAACCACCACAGGAATTTGGGTAAGTTTTTGCTTAAGGACTATCATTATTGGCACTTGATCAGATACAGATAAGCTAGGTTTCCAGCTTACAGAGAGAATAATGCAAAAGGAATTGTAATAGATTAATTTCACATGTTTCATTTCAGGACAGGTAGGTTTTTTTATGAAGCACTAAAGAAACATTAACATAAATCTGTGTTATAATAGCACTGTAATTTGTAAGAAAGTTTTAAAGCTTCTAGTCCTTGAGTTTTTGCAGTGTTTAGAAGGCTTTTTTCTCGGTATGGTATAAAGAGAATAGGATTCAGAAGTTGTTGAGCATGCATTTATTACTGCTTCTACCAAATACTTGATTACACTCCTTGGTTTGTCCCTCAAAGGAGAAAAGTGGGGTTCAAAAGTGTATTTTGTGACTTTTTAAGACTCACCTTTCTAATTATCTTTTCAATAAATGTTGGTGTAATATAAATCCCAAACACAACTGGGGCCTCTCCATAGAGTGCTTGCACTAAAGCTTTTACTGTCCCTACAGACGAAAGGATGAAAGGCAGAAGCAATCTTTGCATTTCATGAGGTGAAGTGTAACAGGGAGGTTCAAAACTTTATCAAAGATCCTGTGGGTACCTTTTGCAGGGTAGAATGTAACCTTGGAATCCCTTCAGCCTCGAGCCACATTCTTAAACATGTCATCTGTTGCACAACAATGATACAGATGGGTTTCCTTGGAGGAATGGTTGTTCTCTGCAGATATTCCTGAC